TCAATTTGCTGCTGAGCTCCACAGAGCTCCTCTCTGTGTGTCACATTCATCTTCACACGTGGGGCAATCCAGCTTTGCCTGTCTTCTTTAGTCCACACACTGTATGGACTCACACATACAATGTATGGATACACTCACGCTGTGAGCTATCCCGGTACCCGCGTTGGGGTGCTTGTATTCACATCTGGGTGAGGCTTCTCAGCATCAGGAGCAGAATCATCTATATTCTGTCTGCACAGACAGTGACAGAACCTGGGCCCCAATCATTGCAAGATCTTGGTGTCACCACAAGAAGTCTTGACTGCTGCCACATTCCCTACTATCACGTCTTCCTCTCCAGTGTAGTGTACACAATCAATAAAGGGCAATCGGTTTTATGTCATAGGGAACATAGAAATATCTATTTTATCACAACAGCACATACAAGATCAGGTCTGTGTGTATCTGTGTGTGGTGTATGTACATGTTCCTTGGGCGTGTGTGCATGTGCGTGTGTGTGTGTGTGTGTGTGTGTGTGTGTGTGTGTGTGTGTGTGTGGCCAGAGGTCAGCAACGGGCATGTCTTTAACTGTTCTCCACCTCATTCTTTGAGACAGGTTCTCTAACAGAGCCTAGAAACTAGTGAAGCAGCTGGGCTGCCTGCCCAGTGAGTTCCAGGGATCTGCTCTTAGCTCTGGAGTTATAGATATGTACCACTGTGTTTGGCTTTTGCAGGGCTAATGAGGTGTGGATACAATCAAAATGCATTATGTACATGTATGAAAATGTCATAATGGAGCCTGCCATAATGCATAATTAATATATGCTAATAAAAACTTAAGAAATTATGTATTTTTACTGATAGTATGCAGTGGATGAGGTACTGCAAAAATGCCAATTTACTGGAGAATGAAAAGCAACTGTAAAAATATAATATGTAAACTATGTTCATACAATGTTATGATTACATAGAAAATATGCATAGAAAATCCAAAAGAGGTGACAGCCAGAGACAGTACGAACTGCCTCTAAGCTGCTGTGGGAAAATAAAGCTAAAAATGGTGGCCAGTTTTCTGTGTAAATAAAAAATGATTGCAATTTCATGTATGGGGTTTAACATTGCATTATCTGTAATTCCAGAACCTAGCAGAATGATGGAAAAAGAAAGAAAAGCTCTTTTACTTTACAAATATTCAAGATCTTTTAGGTTCTTCCATATAACACCCTTTCCTGATTTCCAAGTGTTTGCGACCACTTCAGCATGAAGTACGGGTTAAAACACTGTGTTCCTTAATTTAAAAAAAAAAATTAGCATTCTTGTCACCCGTCCTCAAAAAAAAGTGTTTTTCTCAAAGAGCCACAGACTTTAAGAAACTACTCTGCCAAGTTTACCTTATTATATGTGGCTAACTGCTACTTAATCATATCAGAAACATTTGTAGAGAAAACATTGTGTGAATCATGTTCCTCATGCTAAGAACTTTCATAATACGTTAAGATGGTGTCTGTGTCAGGAATGCTATCAGTAAAGAAAATGATTCATGCCAGGGAAATTCATTGGTCAGCTCTGCAGCTTCGTGGATTCATTAAGCATCAGTTTTCCATTACTGAGACCACAAACCATGCGGTTCCTTTCTTTCTTATAATAATCTCCATATTTCTGGACATAGGTTGAGAGTCATAATTTACCATTTGTAATTTGAATGTCGTCACCATACTCATGTCTACTGTCACAGATTCTATCTTCCTGCTGATACAGGTTTTAAGTTCATAGGATTTCATTACTCAGCGTTGAGTGCTGTGAACACAGTACTACTTAAAAAACGTTTGGGAAATGAAGTTATGAGAGCAAATAAGTGAACTCACACATTGTAATAAGCTTTGAAAGTAGAGATTAACGTCTGATTTTTGCTATTTAGGTGCGTGTCTGTCGAATGAGGTGTGGGTTTTCTTTCATTAGAAGCCAAGCATTCTCCATGTGAAACGTTCAAGGAAAGATTGACTTGGCAAATGTTAGACTCCTCTAACCAGGCGAATTGGTATCTCTTTACACAGGAAGATGGGAATCAGTGTTAACAAAGAAAGGGGGGAAAAGCTTTAAAAAACGTTGGGGTACAGTCCATGCATGGACTTAACATGGAAATTGTTCTTCCAAGGCAGTTTATTGCTGTTCCCTCATAGCACAAATTGCAAAGTGCTGAAGCACAAATAAGGGAAACATTAAAACAGTAAAAACAGTAAAAACAAAACCCCAAGAGAGAAGCTTTGACATGGGGAGACGCTGGGCTGCCAAGAGAACACAGCAGAATGTAGGGTCTACCCCTGTTGCCGGTTGCTTGCATTTTTGACTCTAAGGTGCTCCTTTACAAACTTGATTGTAGATATTATAGTTTTGTCCTTAAGCAATATCTACACGTGATCTGCAATTGTGATCAATTCTTCTGCCCAAAGGGGACAGCCCAAATCAATAACACCAAGCTTAGATTTCCAACAGTGTTTCCTTTCTTGGATTGCTTTATGTAGACATTTATGAACTTACTCAGTTTCTGAAGAGGAATGGCATCATGATCACTTGGGGAAACCATATTGCGATATCACACTGTTCACCCTCAAAATCCTAATGTCAACCACACAGAATAGGCCTCTTTAATGAGAAGGCTTTGTGTTCAGTGAACCCTGAATTTTCTCATCACACACATGAACACTGTGGTTTGAGTCACATATGGTAAAACTTAGGATAGATGTATCAAAACAAACAAACAAACAAACAAACAAACCAGTTGAGAATAAACGTCATGCATTCAGATTCTTGAGCATTATTGAGGTATGTCAAAGAAACCTTCAAGGTTAGAAAGCAATAAAGGATTTAACTATTTCACTAGGGGAGAGGGAGAGAGAGGGTGGAAAACGCTTCCCATATGATGGGCATAAAGAGCAGTAATGGGGGAAGGAGGAGGAGAAAGAGAGAATGGTACCAGAACACAGCATCAGTGTTCTCTCAAGTATCTGGACTGTCAGGCTGCTAAAGTATGAAAATAATCTTGAAGGTACTCTTGCTTCCAGCTACTCTCATGCACGTATGTGGTCAGGAAACTTATTGAAGTAGGCAGCATTTATCTACCCAGGCTTGGCTGTGTATATTTATTCATCCATTCACGCCCCAAGTTTTTATTGACTTCCTCCTCTGAGCTTTCAAGACACAGGGTAATAAAGTGAGATCTGCCTTCATAAAAAAAAAATCATTATGATCACAGGAGGCTAGTTGACAACAAACAGACACCGGTGAGTCCGTCAAAGGAGTTAAGATGGAGACCATTGCTCAGCAAAACATTGGAACCATACCATGCTTCTAAGGGCTCAGGCCTGGGGACTTGCAGATGGAAAGGCTAGGACTGGCTTTGGGGTGAAAAGAATTGTATACATCTGTAAGCTAGGAGCTGTTCAGTTAGGGTATTTTTTCCCATCTCTCCTGTTGACCGTTTTTCTTTTCTTTCTTTTTTTTTTTTTTCCCTAAATTGTGTATTCAGCATCAGGAGGACTGTAATATGTGATTGAACCAGGAAAGTGATTCTACAGTTGCAATAACACAAAAGGCAAGGAATGGTGCTCAGGTCAGTAAAAAATGACATTACGTGAGAGCTGGTTTTTAGTGTCAGCTTCCCATTCTCCATGAGTCACATGCCTGAGACTTAGTCACCCCGAGTTCACAGGATCCCTACACAAGGGAGGAGGCATCGTTTATTGCCACTAGATGGCGCCCGATATTTTCATTTTTTTAAGGAAGGGAAACCCCCCCTTTTTTTTAATGAAAGTTGCATTCAAGTAAAAGACTGTTACCATCACTATTTATAAAACAATTATTAACTTAATAACAATTTCATCATGATCTGAATCAAAACCACCACAAGCATGAGGTATATTTGGGCCAGTTTTTAAAAATTTATTAAACCTGCTTTTCCTTGTCAGAAGAAAAGGAATTTGAAATATATTTATTAAAATAGAATATATAAGTATATAAATAGTAGGATTAAATATATGATAAAAGTGTATTATTATATAATATTACACATGTATTAAATTGTTTGGCAAAAAATAGTTCTCATAAATAGAACTTTTGTTTTCAGGAGAACTGTTTCATTGTGCAATGCAAAAATTATAATTTGAAATATATTTTTAAGCTTTTACTAGCACATTGCAATTATATGTAACAAAAACTCTTGTAAATTATAAAGTGGGAGAGTAATTACTGAAATAAGGCAAGTATTTAGTTAGAGGCTATATAAAATTTAAAAATAGCATGATTTTTAAAAATCTGAGTCTCCCAGCCACATCAGCACAGAATATAATAATAATAATAATAATAATAATAATAATAATAATAAAATCTTGCTGCTTATTTGACAATTGTTATGCTTCTTCCATTTTCGATAATTTGTATAATTTTATATAATTTAATTGATAAAATTTGGATGCAGGACATATATTTTGACATATGATTTCAAAATGTTATACACATTTTTAAAGCAAAGAACATGAAGTATTCTCTCATTTGCCCAATAAAAGTCGCTTGTAACACTCAAATAATATTTATGCGGAAGTAAAACGGAACCATGTTCATATCTCTATTTAAAGCCTGAAAATGGTTCTGAAGTGAATGCAGCCTACTTTTTTTACATTAGTAAACTTGAAAATAAAATAAGGCACAATGGTAAGGTCGGATCCGCACAGAGCACACGGAACACATGCTGCCCTGGGTGAATATAAACAGTTTCTCTGGAAAGAAAATAAAAAGTCGCAGGGTTTTTGCACAAATAGAATGATTTTTTAAAATCTAAGTCTCCCAGCCACATCAGCACATAATAATAATAATAATAATAATAATAATAATAATAATAATAATAAT